CTTTAACTTTTTTATTCAACTCGTCTCGTAATCTTTTTCTGTCCCTGTAAATGGAAATTTTGCCGGAAAGGTCGGACATTAATTCTTGCAGCATGGATGCAACATATTTTTGTACATAATTGCAGTCAAAATACTACAACCTTGCCACTTCCGCTTTTGTAGTCTGTTGTCATTAGTATACTATTTTGTTTTGACTTTTGCATTATTGTAGCAGTTGCCGAATTATGGAGAAATATGGCGATAAAATTTAGTTGTTTTTTTATTTTTGTAGTATTTTAAATAATTGTAACAAAGGATGCATTTTTCGTTTGATTCACTGCATATGAACACCAAGGGGGAGTAGTAGCGAAGTAGTCGTAGTTCGCTACTGTAGCGAACTACAATTTTCAAGTAGCCAGTAGTTTTTGACTACTTTTTTAAAACAGTAGCTGTAGTTATAGCGAACTACATTTTGCCTAAAAGTACCCAAGTAGATGACTACTTTTCAAAAAGCGAATCGCTATTCGCTACTTTTTAAAATTGTTAGCAACTTGATAGAATAGCATGATATTGAGACACGGTTTGCTTAAAATCAATACTCAATAGTCAATTTGCACTCTTGCACACTGTAGTGCTTACAAAAATGTTGCTTTGTGTTCACTGTTGCTACTCGTAAGTCGATTTGTTATAAGTTACATTTCAGCCTGAGTTAGTAGATGCGCCTAATACAGTAAAACTAAAAAAATATAGCGTAGCGAAATAGCGAAATAGTTCGCTACATTTTTTAAGCAGTAGTTGTAGTCAGTAGCGACCTACCTTTGTTCAAAAGTAGCAGTAGTTGTAGCTGACTACATATTTTTGAAGTAGCTGTAGTTATAGCGAACTACAAAAATTTTGTAGTCAACCCACCCCTTGATTAGCCTGCGAATACAGACGCCTCACATCGGGCGAAATGTAGCGCCCGAGGGAGACGTCTGCGATTTAACTGTGAAAATTCCATACCGATGACGTAGCCAGTGTGCATATATTATAATTTAATGTCAAAAACATTTGCATAAATTTTCAATGGCGGGCTTCCAAGCGTGTCAAATTACTGTTACTTAATATGTATAAATGTCACATCTGAAAGAAACCGAAAACTGTATATTGTGTGGGAGTAAAGTTCCAAGTGTTGGTCACAGTCGTTTTTATGTGAGGCATGACGGAAGTACTAAACTTTCGCAGGTTATTTCTGAACTACCAACTAATCTGCATCGAAGATTACAAATTGACTGGTCTTTAAGGCAATTTTGCTGTAGAGACTGTAAAATATTATTAGAAAAACGACAGAAGGTCAGTGCAAAAGTTGCACAAATCGAAGCTGATATACTTAATAATCGTATAAATGTATCAAAGGGAACTTGTTCAAAAAAGCTTTCATATGATTGTGACCCAGCTATTAATACCAGCACGCCAAAACGTACGGATGTTATTTTACAAACTACTTCACATCCAGTTCCACCTGTTTCTCCAATTCAACCAATTTCGTCAAAACGTCTTTGTGATCGAAGTTGCCAAACTCAAACTACATTCCAAAGTCATGAACATGGTCACGAGGATTTGGGTTGCAAGGTAGGAGTTCGTACAAAATTTATTATGGCATTTCATACTTTTTAATAATTTAACTAAAAACACTCATGAGGATTAAGTACCAATATTAATTTATAAAAAAAACGGTACATGATATATGTAGATATGTATATGATGGTGCCAATGCTATATAATATTAATTGTATATTTATTAATTTATACTGTCAGATTATTGTGTCTTGGCCATCACAACAGAGACAGCGCAAGTTAAATAAATTTGGAAAATAGTTTTGGAAAATAGTTTTTGATAATTTTGATATGTATGAAAGAGTTCACGATATGACTGAAGATAATCAAAACAAAGATATTCATTGGGTGAATCATGTCAAAGTTTCAAACAGAGTTTCTGGGAATGAGTTACCAGATGATAAACCAATCAAGAATTGTCTTTCTGATCTTGACAACTCTAAAGTTGCACCATCTGCAATAGAACATATCTGTCAACGTGCAAACTATGTAAATCTTGTTTCAAGGGTATTGGTGGAAGAAATTCCATGTTTGCAGTTCTGTAAAATCAGAAAAGGTAAATATCCATGCCACAGTGTCAGACTGTTACTTTACAATAGGTTGAAATTACTGTCACAAAATACTTGCATGTAATAAAACTGGCAAAAAAATATATGATGCATGACAAGACAAATAATTCATTCTATTTATAATAGATACATTTTAACTACACTTCAGTCATTAGTGCATGAACAATCAAAAGTAGACCATCAATTAGTAGACCATCAAAATTTGTTAAAAGTGAAATATAAATGATATATTTGTTAATTTATTGTCTGTAAAAACCAGTTAATCATTTTTGAATTATATGAGTATAATTTTCTAAAATTAGTTAACGTCAAAGGAAAATTTGTGTTATGAGTATTATAGTCATGTACACAGCAGCCATGCTAAGAGGTCCAGATATTAATTTCCTTCTGCATCTTCAGTGGGACTAACTGGGATATGAATAATCTTTCTCTTTTATACTTAGGAGTGCCTGGGAATTATTCAGGAAAATGAAAATACAACCGAAGGAATGCTTGAAACCCTGAAGTCAATGCATTCTTATGTTCCACGTTGGACTTCAAAAGAAAATATAACCCATTTTACAGATATTGGGCATGTTGGGGACCAAGTTACAGTTGAAAGATCAGTTAATTGTCTTATGGCAGTATCAAATGGGTTTACTGCCACTGAAAGGCTTGAAGGCATTTATTTTGAGATTGCAGATTGGCATGCAGACTTAAAATTCCTAGATGTATAGTACATCTAATTTTCTTACACAAATTATCAAATGAATTGTTCATCTGGGGGCAATGCAGTTTTAAATATTGGGAGTGGCTAAATTATAAATTCTCCAACTTTGTATTTCGCCCTAATGTAAAAAAAATTCCATCGTGAAACACCCCCCCCCCCTCCCAATTATTATACATAACAAGTTTACATGGGTGCAGGGAGGGGGGGAGGGAAGGGGAGCAGGGAAGGGGAGCAGGGATGGGGAGCAGGGACAGGGAGAAGGAAGGGGGGGGGCAGAGAGGGGGTCAAATTGCCATGGGTCCCAACTTGAAAGAGAGAGCCTAAAATTGAGTAGGTTCGTTAAATTTGTCAGTCTGTAGCTAAGGTATATAGTTGGGTGAATGACTTGGGTAGAAATAATGATGTCATGGGGCCCCAGAGAAGATTTTCCCAGGCCCTGTGGATTCTCTCAGCAGCCCTGTGTGTTTCATTATGACTGTCTTGTAAATAATGTTCTGCTCCTTATTGTATGACTTATATACTATTGATTATTTTTAATCTCTTTTTATAGTTGATATACAAGCGGTTCTATTCCACTTCATCTGCCAACGATATATGCACACTTTTTGCTGAAAGAAATCTAATTAACAGGAGAAATGTCAAGACTGATAGACATAGACATAGATACTTTATTATAGCTCCCTAAAAAGGGCTCTTCCGCTACAATTGATAAATACAATATATAAATAATATCTAATTAAAAACAAATTAACTCAATAAGTTCTTTCTGAGTTCATTTCGAAGTCTTTTCTTAAAAAATCTAGTGTTCTCAATTTCCTTAATATCAAGAGGCAGTTCATTATACAGTTTTGCCCCCCGATAGGAAAACATTCTTTGCCCAGTTGCAAGCCTACATTTGGGCAAATTTAAATCATTACAATATCTAGTCGATCTGCTATGTATGGCAGAACGAGGCATAAACTTATCGGATAAATATGCTGGTACTCTGCCATGAAGGCATTTATGGACCATAACGGCATCATTTAGGAATAGTGTGTCCTTTACATTGAGCCATTTCAAAGATTGTATGCCTTCAGAAATATGGTCATATTTCCTGAGTCCCAGAACAATTCTTGCAGCAAAATTCTCACAAATTCCCATCATTCTTACGAGGCAAACTCACATATACTTCTCTTCCCGAAATAAACGACTACAAAGCTTCAAACTGTTTTTCTTTTAAATATTTAATGCCAAATGAAGGAAGCAGAGAGTCGACACACTTGTGAAGTTGTTCACGCGTTATTTCATTACATTCCGCCATTTTAGATTTTATTATTTTATGTCTTGTTTATATGCATAATTATCTATTAGCCAATCAACAGCAGTGTCCATATTTTGCACACTGGCTACGTCATCGGTATGGAATTTTCACAGTTAAATCGCAGACGTCTCCCTCGGGCGCTACATTTCGCCCGATGTGAGGCGTCTGTATTCGCAGGCTAACCCTTGATGAACACATAAAAGTTTTGAAATTTAACTTATGTCGTCTTATTTCCCTATAATTTGTTAACCGCTACAATAACAGAAATACTGCAGTAAGAGACAGAGATTTTCAAAAAAATAGTTTTTAAAAAAGTTTTAAAAATTAGAGTTTTAAAAAGCAAAAAAGTTTAAAAAGTTAGATTTTTGAAAAAGTTTAAAAAATTTAAAACGGTTAAAAAAGTTAGGGTTAGGAGTTAGAGATTACTGGTTAGTAGTTAGAGTTTACTGGTTAGGATTTAGGGGATTAGTGGTTAGGGGTTAGTGTCGCGAATTTATTATTATGATAAATTCAAAATGTGCTGCGAATTTATCATAATGATAATTTCGGACGTGTTTAAGAAATTACTCATATAGTAAATTCAAAGGTGGAGCTCATGCTGAACTGCAACACTAGCTTGCCAGTTATTTTTGATAGCAGCTCCTATTTTTACTTTGTGCATGCTTGAGTCATGGAAAAGAACTGTTCTTTTGCTGGCCTGGGGAATTTTGCATGTGGAGAAAGCCGGGGAATACAGAAAGTTGCACATATTGGGGAGTGTAATGCAGACATTTGTACTCACCCCAGCAGTTGTCACCTCACGAGGCCTACCATCAACGAGAGTGAACTTATACTTGCCAGAGCAGGGCACTTTTACCTACTCAGGAACAGCTGACAAACATAACTATCCAGTATGTTATTAGATCAGTTTCATTTTCAATTGGGTCTATCCTGTCAATATGAGATCAGTGGATAGACTTATATAAAAATGAAGCCAGTAGACAAATTTGGGTAATGTTGTTTACATCGTTGCTACCCAATTCACAGCTTTGGATAACTCACATGCCTAGTTACTATTATTCTAGTTTACAGAAGCATAGACTGAATAAAACAAAAGTAACTAAACATTAATAAACTTATGTATTATCACTTTATATTTACTGAGATCGAGGGAAACAGTGTGTTTTGTGGACCAGAGCCACTTATAGATAGTATATAAGTGTTAAAGTATGAATAATTCACCGATTATTGGAGTGAACTTAATTTGAAACCAAAACTGCATAAATGGAACGCCGTAAATAAAAAGTTTAAAAAATGAACTTTGAAACTTCGCGGTTGGCACGCATGCGTATTGCACCCTTTTTATTATTGGCTGGTCAAAAAATGTTTCATTGCGGACCGGTTCCCGAACATGAGGTTTTGTGGACCGGCACGTGGCACGGTTTTGACTAATCGGCAAATAGAAAAATTGAACTTTGACACTAACTAACATTAAGATTTATAAGACTATATAACAATAAGAGGTGGGTCAGTACACGCATTTTCATAAAAATAGCAACCCTTCGGCTAAACAGAATTCTGATTATCATATTGAGCGACATCAAAATCATGGGAGTTTCTGCAAAGTGCATTAAACAGAATCGTTGTAACTGTACTACCGTATGTGTATATTGAAAGTGCATAATTAGTGCAAGTGTAAGTTAAGTATAAATGTAAAGCAATTCGAATTCAAGAATGTTCTGTACACGATCGCTTGTGTATATTGTAATTATATTTTCACAAAATTGTATATATTCTTTTGAACAAGCTAAAAAAGTTTACTCATGGGTAATAAATCAGCTTATTTTACTGTCGTTCCAATTGAAGTGTTCCTCAAATATTGATTCAATACATTACCTCGGGATATTCATACGATATATTCATATACTTCCTGTGAAAGAGCCAATTCCAAGTATTTGATCATTTCTGGTCACTTCCTTTCTATTTATGATTGGTTAGTTGCACAAACAGCAAAATTTGATTGGTGCATTCAAACTATTCAACAGGAAGTTTACAATTATACTAGGAAGTGTATGAATATCTCGAGG